GCAGATAATTTTAAATATCGACACGTTTGATATTATTAAATTTTCATTTGAACACTTGCCCAACATGTTTAGTATGCATAGTTTGTGCGAAAACATATATACATAATCAAATTACAATGTAATTTAGAAATCGGAACGGCCGAAAAATCATTCGGTCAATTTTTATCAGGTTTCCAGGAATTATGAAAATAGCAGTAAAAAAATTTTTTTTGACATATTTACTATCCGGATAAAGTTTTTTTTAGGAAGTCTATAAAAATTTTTATATGCTTTTTTTATATAAAATTTTTGGAAAATAAATTAAAAGCCGGGTTGCCGGATCATTTTTCAAATTTTATGTTATGAGAACCCAAAAAATTAACTTTTTATGGCCTAAATTGTAATAACTTTTTTAAAAATTAAAAAAAATTTTGAAATTCTAAAATATAACTCTAGTTTCTGTTAACAATTTGGTTTGTTTTTTGTGACGTTCCTCAATAAATTAAGTACAGTCGACTCTGGATATAATAAACTCAAAATTTTGGAATTTTCATAATATTTCGATATAAAAAGTGCCATGTGTTTTTATAAAATATATGTAGTAATTTCCATAACGAATGTTTTTTTTTCTTCTGGAATCTTAATTCTTTAAAGGAAGACTGTATTCTTTTTATGGCTAATCTTTTATTATACTTCCTCATAGATTAATATTTTCTATACACGAATTTTTTAAATTGATGCGGCTGAACTCTAATTTTTGACCTACTTCGACTGCGATGAGGAATCTTGTTGAATCTCATCATTAGATATTTAGATTTGTTATATCTTCGAAATATTCAATGCTGTTAAGAAGTTAGTTAATATCATCAATAATACGTTTAAAAAACCTTTCAAAGGCATTATATACTTATTTAGATCTTTATCGCTATGTAATTATTAAATAAATTTCAATATCTTCTTTAAACGGCTGAACATACTTAGTCATTGTAATTTTCAACTTTATACTTAGCTGACGGAAATTTTTGCTGAAGCAGCATAATTTGATGGTTTATGTAATTAACGAAATAACAGCTTATTCACGATATTAAAAATGTAAAAAGTTTTGTATCTTTTATTTTTGCAGGAAGAAAAAACTAACAAAAAATATTATGCTAACGCTAACGACAATATAGATTATAATTTTAACGTAATGTTTAGCATGATGTAAATACGTAATTTTGTTTCTATATAGTTCCAAATGTTCATATCATTCCAACCTATCTTTCCGGACGATCACACCCTTGACACATTTTCTAGGTGCTAAGCTCTATGATCAGCTTCTGATTCAATCGATTCACTTAATAATGGTTCACGTTCTTCGTCAGCAATCGACTGATTACTCTTATTTAAACCCAATAAACGATGGAAAAATCCAGGCTTATTTACTTCATTAGTTTTGTCTCTTTTAACTGGAAGCCATAACCAAGGGAGTTTTCCCACTAATGCTGGGGCGCCAAACTCCCGCATTCCAGTGTTGAGTACACCATCGTATAAGGTCATGGGTGGTTGAATATAATCTGTGTACAAGTCTGGAGCCGCACGATAAATTTCCATATCTGATAGAGAGTTCATTTTACCTTTATCAGTATTAGGGAAAGTAATTTGAGAGGACTCGTTATCAGAAGGTTTTGGAGAATTAGAGGTTGAAGGCGCGAAAGATGAGTTTTCGATGTTTTCTTCTTCTTTTAAAGTCTTTAACGGAATGAAAGCAGTAATACGAGCATATGCTTCGTTTACATAATACCAGTATAAGGTAGTAACAACAAGAAGAGGAAATAAACTGACTGCCATGTTATAACGATTTCTTAAAGACAGATATCCTATCATCATGAGCTGATATATATAGAGGCCAATAATGATTCGATGGAAAATTTTTGGCCAAATAAGACCAGAAGTTTCGTAAGGATGAAAATAAACTAAAAAAAGGTTCATAAAAAATATTAAAAGAAGCACTTGTAAATAAATATAATTTATGCAACCACACATACCATATAATAATAAGTATTTATATGTCAAATAACCCAGGAAAAAGTATATTGCACCAAAAGGGAGAATTATTGGTGTGATAGAGGAATACACTAATACAAGCACAAAAATTAGAATGACGGGCGGTAATTCTTGTCCGTAATCCAAGAATGGAGGAGCACTAGTTTCAGCATATTCCCTTGGAGTTCTTGCAAAAAATACACGCATAAACAAGGTAAAAGAAATCTCACTCAATCGTAAGAGATGAACAGGAAGTAAACCAATTCCTTGCAAAACAACCAAGTTAATGAACAGAGGGGCTGACTTAAAAATTTTAAAATTTAAATTTAGCTAATTATTCAATAAATTAGTTAAATTAGTTAATAAATTCATCAAATTCAAAAAACTTACTCCCGGTAAGGTTGTTGCGAGTTGATTTGCAATATCTCTTGGATTCTTAATGAGATCTTCAACGATTGTTGATAAAGATATTTCAACTATGGTCAAGATCAAGAAAAAAAAATACCTAATATGAGTGTAAAAATAAATGTACAATACATGAAATGGATAAACTTTAATGTGAAACAAACACGTACTTTGCAAATGTAGAAAGCTCGATTGTACTACGGGTATGAAACCCTTGAAGACCAGAAAGGTCTTGAAAAAGAAATATACGAATTATTTAGATACATAGGCATATAATTTATAATAATGTTTAAGCAACAGACATACATTTCATTAGTGTTGGCGGTAAAAGATTATTTAAAACGGTCACCGCAAGAGGTGCAAATGTACTTTGAATAATCCATTTCAAAATTTTGTTTTTTTTAGCCAAATTTGCTAACCATGGAAATACTTTCTCCAGAGTTGATAATTTCAAGAACGAAGCCACAGTGTAATTAGCAAAACTCCAGGAAGATACCATTAAAATAATCAAAAGATTAACTATTATAGTACGAACAAGCGTTTCTCTTTGACGAACGACAAGGTTATGCCAGTAACTATAATACCAGATATAACGATAATCAACAATAATAATAAAAATTGTGCTACAAGCCATTAATAATCAATTCCATGTAGAAAATTTAAACATACACATTCCAAGGTTCAGGTGCAATTGTAGTTTGGCATTGAAATGGTTGATCACATACATAAACTTGTGCAGCTAGTTGCTAAAATTTGAGCAGCAAAAGTAAGAAATATGATTATGTATGATATAATCTCAACCGCATACCGAAAATGTGTGCAAGGTTGGCGGCGCAGACAAAATTCTTAAATTTCGTTAGGGTTAGGGATCTAGAGAAGGATAGTTTATATGGTAAAATTGCATAACGAAAACTTTTTGTTAGAGCACAAAAAGTTGGTTTCTTATGCTAATTTTTGAGATATGAGCAATTTTTGACAAAACGAACGTTTGTTTTGAATCTTCCTGATCGTGTTACATTATACCTAATTTTGAAATCTGATTCGTAGTACAGG